GAAACTGTAAAGCTCAACACAAAATAAGAAAAAGATAGCAAGGTCAAGGTCACAGAAAAGATCAAGGCAGAAAACTGTGCCACAGCTGAATAGTTCTCACCAATACATATTAGTGTATGAATTTTAGTTAATTTATCTTGAAAAAGTCAGAAGAATGGAAGGTCAGAAGATGGACATGACTCTATGTCCCACCCATATTCATGGCAGGGCATAAAAATAACTTGGACTATGTATTTATCCTAAAAATGAGAACTATTGAGAAATCATCAAGTGACCTTGACCTTATGACAGTTCAACCATAAGGGCCAATTAATGAGATATAATCTAATGTGAAGAGGAGACCCAAAAAACTGCTAGTGGGACATTGGATAGAGAGGTCACAGGGAACAGGTAAGAAAGCACAAATAGACAATGAATGACACCCCCTCCCTGTAGGAGTGAAAGGGCAAAGAAAGAGAGTGATGTGCATCACTATTGATGTCCCATTTAATGCCTGTCAAACAGCCAGACTACAGTAATTAGCCCATGATCATCAATGTCATTCTTAATCACACAACATGCCTGATTTAATTAGTGAACTTTACTGAAATATTCCATCAAGGACATGTCTTTTTAGAAAAACAAAACAGCTTTTACCTCATAACAAAGAGTACAATTTACCATTTTTTAAATTAAAACATTAATTAATCTGAAAATTAAAAAAAATATTCACACAACAAATATCCCAGGTATATCACAATTATATTTTTTTTCTGTTCATTTCATATGAAGTAACACTCAAAATTATGTGTCACACTCATAAAAGGAAAAGAACAAAAATTGAGTTCGTCCATTTGTTTATTGGTCACTATAATAGCAGTTCAAAAGGACACTCTCCAAATGTGAGGAGCATTGTTCATACAGACACCTGAATGCAATTTTATCCACTCCTTAACCACTTGTACCCAAATCAGTAGTCAATAATCCATTATGAAAGACACCAAGAGTTCTGCAAGAGAGATTGTGCATTGCTAAAATCATGCATAATGGTGAAATCTATGGTCAGTGTGGCGAAAACTGAGAAAAGCAGACAGACCCTGTGTCATAAATCTCTTGGACTTCAGTGCCAACAAACATCCATCGTTTTCCAAAAGTTAGACAGATGATGGATAGAAATCTTAAAAAACAGTCTTCATCTCCATCATAAAAGCCTAGGTTTATTGTGGGAATGGTGACAATTTATTCACCAGATATTGCCATCAATGATATTTTCCCCCTCAATTTGAATAAAGTTCGGCTGCTCTAATGTATATTTGGTAGAAGGCAAGATATCAAATTCTGTTCATGAGAAGAAAATGGTTCTACATAAAAAATAACCCATCTCTTGCTTCCCTGTAAACCAATAATATTGTGTTCTGCTACCCAGTCTCTTACATTCTCATCAAAACTTTTATATAAGGAATGTATATAAAGCAAAGTAGAAATAAAGAAAGCATCGATCATATTAAATATTTTCTTTCACCGAAAGCTCTTCTGTTAAACTCAATTGCAAGCTAAAGAATATATTAGGTACTCCATGGATTTGATAAATATCTATATACAGAGTTGAACTTCAGTATCTCAAACATCTACATCTAGAAACTAGGGGTGAAACGATACACCTCCTTCAGGGTTCGATACGTATTGTATAATTTTGTCTCGGTTCGGTTATTTTCGATACGATACATTTTGATAGAAGGAAACAAATTCAACATTGTTTTATGCTTTCTTTTTCTAAATCTAGTCACATGTTTTACGAATTTTATTTGCAAATTGACTAGAAGAAATTGATTAAAATTATTTGACTGTCAAAAATTATTTTACAAGCTATCAGTCATCAAAAATTTACGTTTTCTATACTTATTTATACTGAGTAACGTGTTTTATCTTATGCCAAACCAGACTGAATAACAATCCCGACCGAAAAATGAACCGAACCGAAAATTAGAGATTTTGCACCGTGTATCAAACCAAGAAAAAATACCGCGGTGAACCGTTTCACTCCTACTAGAAACCAATGATGTGTCAAAGTGATTTGAAAGTCACAATCACTTTTTCTGTATTTTAACATATATGATAATCTGAATTCTGAGTTATCTTAAAGTTTTTTCGGGGGGGGGGGGGGGGGGGGGGGGATGGAGGAGGAGGAGGAGGTGTGTCAAGTTTAGAGAACAAAGTTTGACTGTTTTTCAAGTGATGATAAATATGCTAATTAATAATGTATGAATCAAGATAAATGTTTAAGCTGCAAGAACTCTTAAATGAAAAATGCTAATGCTAGTTCTAGAAAAAGCTAATTGAATTTACTATTAACTTAATACATCAAAATGCTGAAAAAGGACATCCAAATAGCATCTCTTTGAACATGCTATAAAAGTTCTTCAAATACATTGTTTTAAAATATTAATTGTCAATTTTTCTCTGCTTGGTCACTATTAAATCATAAATAGGCAACATGTACAAGTCTGCGTGTTATGACATAAAGCTGAATTACTGATTCCAAAATATAACTTGTTCTGAAAAGAACTTGTAAGATATTTTAACTCTCTACTTGATGCACATGAAGGTATACACGTAAGATAGTCTTGAGAGACACCCAGGAACCTGCCTTCAGTCACAACATCGAAATGCACCATACATTTTTCACTCCTTTTTTCTCATTAGACCTTGAAGTATATCATAGATGATATAATAGCAATTTCTAAAATTTCATCTTGACACAGAGAAATCTACAGACAAATGATTTATAATCCCTGTTGTGTGCTTTATCACACTAATTGACACATTTATCTCCAACTGTAACCAAGCCCAGTGTTTGTTCCCTCTGACTGACATCCTCAGATCCAACTTATCAATTGATGCAATGCAAGCATCTAATTGTTCCTAATTGTCAGGGGTGGTATCATGACAGCCTCTTTCTATTTTGTATTGCGCAATGGGATTCAAATCCGCACCATACAATATCTTGTAAAAATTTGTCATATATCACTTTTAGCTGGAAGATTTCACTTTTAATCAATTTTGTAATAAATCAGGGAAGTGTAACTGAGTTGTTTTATTTTTTTTTCTAAATAGATATTTTGACCATTTAAGTGTAGAATTAAAATAGGTCACTAACTTAAATTATGTGCTTAAATAGATATTTCAACTAGTTAAGCATGGTAATAAAAAAAGGGGGGTCATCAACATGCATATATGTACTTGTTGATATATGCATATATGTACTTAGAATGTTGATAGACAGAAAATGCGAGGGATATTTCAAACAATTTTGATATTCTCCCCATTCTGAAGATAACAGTAATTTAAAGATTATTAGGAAATGCCTGATGTAACTTATGTCAAATAATATCACAAACATGGGCCATACTTAACATATGGACTGCTTCATACACCCCTGTCAAAGCTTATCATTCAAGACCAAAAAACATGTCTTAATTTGTGTACAGTTGCTATCTTGACAGAGTTAATGTGGTATGCTGTAATTAGATTGAAACAAGTTTTAGAGCAGTCTCAGTATTCAATGTAACATCACAGATTTAACTTACCTGTCAAATAATTACAAAACTAAGTACATCAGAGCACTTAATTATATTTTTTTTTATAGTAATATTTTTTCTGAATTGTTCCCTGTAAATTTTTAATGAAGAAACTTTTATTTTAGATAGAACATTCATTGCTTCAAGGACTTTTTTCTAGGCATAATGAGTTTGCTGTCCTTTTATTTTTCCTAGAAAAAAAAGACAATTTGATGTGAAGGCACTCCACAGGAAGCTGCTTAATCCAAGAGAAAATGACCTGAGAAGGATGTACATGACATTTGTCATTTATTTGCTGCAATCCGATTGACAGATTGATATGAAGACTTGATGAGGGCACACAAAAAACACAGCATCTGCAATCTTTTCCCTTGTCTACCTGCCACAGACAACTGTGAAAAAGAGCCATGTCTCGGATCTTCTTAACAGAAATCCTGTCAATTTCTGTATGTCAAGTCAGTCTCAGTAGACAATGCTTTCCATTAGCCATTGAAAGTCCCAGTGGGAATTTTTTTCTCTTTCAAAAACGAACTAAAATCTCAACCCTGAAGCCATTCATTAACTAAAGCTTACAATTCCTTTCATGACAAAATAACATTTCAATTCACAAATGCTACGTGTTTATATATGAATCTGTCATTTTATGTTGAAAAAATTACAACTTTGATTGGCTACTCCAATTTAAAAGATGTATGATTGTAACTGTATAGTCCTTTAGAAAAACACATTTGTTCTTTTGAGCTTCCTTTTTTTTTCAAACTGACATGTATGAAAAATAAATGACATTTCATGTTTTGCTCTGACTGATTGCACTATACATCAATCACATTGCAATTAGCATCTCCCATTACACAATTCACCAAGTAGAGGCTTGCCAAATCTCCAAGGAGACAAGGAACAGCTTTCTGTTTCATTCCAGTCACCTAAACATCATCCTGATAGGAAAATTATAATGTAGCCCTATTAGTCCCAAATGTTGCCTTATCATTTTTTATCTAATGTAAGAATTGGGTAATATATCTTGCTGCATGTCAGAAAATAAGCAGGCGCCTTTGTTTGCTTTGTTGAACAAATAAATTAACAACAAAAGTGGGGTTGATTGATGGACATTCAGATTGATTGTGCTGGCTCCGACAAAGCCTGCCTGACAGCTGATTGACAATTTACAATGAAATATGTGATTGATGCTTTCTGAACAAACAGCAGATGGGCTTCAAGTGAAAGATACACAAATGGCGACATAGTTCTAAAACTAAGGAAATAAAATTTGATGTAGAATAATTTGAAAGACTCTCCAGAATGCTTCTTATTATCTCAGTTGAAATGACATCTGATATCGTAAACAGATACCCGTAATACGTTTTCGTTGTCAATAGCTTTTTAAAGCGCTGTGACAGACGACACACTTAGCATGCAAGTAAAACTAGAATAAACACAACTTACATTGTAATCTCTTTGGTTGAACTTGTTTTCTTCGCGGCATGCTTTGTCTTTTCATCTGTATTTCATCTTTGTTTTATGTTGACAATAACATTTTTAAATGTACCGCATTTTTACAGTGCTTGTTGATATAAGACACCAGCATCCAATCCTAACCTGGAAGGAAATCTTCAGTGTTTGGAGGTTAAAAAAGTATTGCGCATGCTCAAAAGGCTTCTGACATCCGGTTTCAATAGCAGGTTGAAGTAATTCTTATTTTGATTAATTTGATACAATATCCATTTTTTCCTATGTAGTACCCTTTCATTTTAATCATTTAAGTATCAAAGTTTACAATAACACCCATGTCATAAACGCAGAGAACTGTTTTGCAATGCAAACATTTTATCAAAAAATGGGGTGACGCCATGCAAATATTGTTGACCTAGGAGGTCTAGTTTGCTGATCTGGAACGCTGAAAATTTAACTCTGGGTTAAATTGAACGAAAGGCATACTGACAGTCGTTTATTCAAGGGACCTATATACGCATGCATAAACTAACGTACAAAGACATAAATCATTACATATGTTATAAGTTCCAACACACAATCTCTGGATTTAGTTATCAGGTCCAGCACAATCTCTTGATTAAGCTATATAGCTTGAAATAGCTATATAGCTTTATTAAGCTATTCAAAATAGCTTGATAAAGCTATTTATATGCAAGTTTTCACAAAAATATTATTTGTACAAAATAGACAAAAAGTCGCAAGTATTTGACTATTCATATATGTAATATGGGTTATCAAATCAACAACCCAAATCAAAGATAGTTCTAACATTGCAGCATATGAATACTTTTAAGCAAAAGATGAATTTCCATTGTTTGGGTAACTGTACACTACCTTGTGTGCGTGGAGGCATGGACAAGTATGATTGCTTCTCATTGTACTGAATCATTACCAATCATCTTGTTGACCATAATTGGCCTCCTTTATAATTTCACTGAAGAAGTAACTGTATCAATTGGTTTATATAGCCCCAAAACTTTTAGAACTTTGAGTACAAAGTCTATTAAGGAGATGCAATTTGATGAGTGATTTTTACATGCATTATTTTCATAAGAGTTCAATGTTGCATGAATATTATCACTGCACCAAGGCCCGATTTTTTGAGCATTCTTAGAAAATAACACATTTGAGAAAAAAGTGGGATAAAATAGCTAAATCAAGCTATTCTGAATAGCTTAATAAAGCTATATAGCTAAATCAAGCTATATAGCTTAATCAAGAGATTGTGCCGGACCTGGTTATATAGCTTGAATTAGCTATATAGCTTCAATTAGCGATTCAAAATACTTGATTAAGCTATTTATTTGCAGTTTGTCAGAAGTATGCCTTTTAAATGACGTACATGAAAAATTCGCTAATATTTCACCATAAACTAATAAGCACTCATAGTTTGAGCATTGCTGCTTTGAACAGGTCCAGTCCAAAGACTATTTCTACCTACGTAGCTATTAATAGCTACCTAGGTATTTTAGCCTACCCAAAGTAGCTATTTTTACCTACTTTTTGCATTACTTGCATTTTGTGGCCAAACGGTGCAACATGGTGAGTACCAAATTTTTTGATACAGTCACACTGATGATGAATACAACAAAATTTTGGCCATAAAATGATTACTTCGTAAATTAACAATTTTACATTAATTGCTATGCAAAATTGTTAATTTATGAAGTAATAGCGGGCGCAGCGAGCTTAATAGCCTAACGTGTAAGAACAGAGAAAATTTGGAATGAAATCTGTACATACGTCAGGCAAATTTTCTGGTGCAACATTCCCAGAATTCCTTCGCTACCAGGGTTCCATGTGAAATTCTTACAAAACATACAAAAGACCAAGGATGATTATTCATTACCGAGAGATACGTTTACTTTTCTTTCTTTGCAGAGAGCTTAAAAGAAACAAAAAATATTTACATCTAATTTCATTTATTATTGCACAAGATCTTTAGTCTCGTTCAACCAGACGCTCGGCTGTCTCCATAAAGTCCGACATTATGTGACGTCACAGTCTAGACTGTGTCTCGTGCTGTTTGACATTTGAAGAGGCGGGTCAATGTTATTAGTGTAAGCTGCAATAGCTTTTTGATGGTACAACTGTCCAGCTGTCTGTCCGTCCGTCTGTAAACAATTTTTCAAAATGCTACTCCTACAGTTTTGGTCTGATTTCAGTATAACTTGGCACACAAGTAGACAATAATAAGATACGTAATTCTGTATATCAGTTTTTGATTTCAATGAACAGTGTTGCCATGGTTACCAAAAAATAGAAATTTCTGTGAAAAACTTTCAAAACGCTACTCCTCCTACAGTTTTGATCTAATTTCAATATAATTTGGCACACAAGTAGACTATAATAAGATACATTATTCTATATAACGGTTTTTGATTTCAATGAATGGTGTTGCCATGGTTACTAAAAATAGAAATTTCTGTGAAATACATTCAAAACGCTACTCCTCCTACAGTTTTAGTCCGATTTCAGTATAACGGCACACAAGTAGACTATGAACAAAGATACATAATTCTGTTTATCGGTTTTTGATTTCAATGAATGGTATTGCCTTGGTTACTAAAAATAGAGATTTCTTGGAAATATTTTCAAAACGCTACTCCTCCTACAGTTTTGATCTCATTTCAATATAACTTGGCACACAAGTAGACTACATTAAGATACATAATTCTCTGTATAAGTTTTTGATTTCGATGAACGATGTTGCCATGGTTACTAGAAATAGAAATTTCTTGAAATACTTTCAAAATGCTACTCCTCCTATACTTTTTGTCTGATTTCAGTTTAACTTGGCATACAAGTAGACTACACTTAGATACATAATTGTCATTATTGTTTTTTGATTTTGTTGAATGATGTTACCATGGTTACTTAAATCGAAATTTCTGTAAAATTATTTTAAAAGGCTACTCCACCTACAGTTTTCTTCTGATGCAAGAAATCCTGCCATAAAAAAGACTAAACCAAGGATCATTATTCTATTTATTGCTGTTGAAAAGTTTTAAGTCCAAGTGCTACTTTTATCTTCCTTTATAAGTACAACCAGTAGAGCTACAGTCTTGTCAGACTTCTGGGTTTTTTTTGAGGGGGGGGGAGGGCTACAACTACTTAGGATCTCCGTAATGGTGCAAGTGTGGGAGTGATTCACTACCGCACAGATTTTGGCTCAAATTATCAGTAAGTGGGTATTTTATTAACATATCTTACCTTAACTCATAAAATGTACATGTAGTTATGAAAGACATGAATTAGTCCAAAAATATACAGAACAATCCGTACATCGGTTATTTTTCGTGTATGTGAACATCACAACTTGAATTTATCCACCATGTTTACTGACCTTGATCGATTTTATTTGACAACCAATGAAAAATTCAGGATCTAGGGGAGCGGATTGTTTATGAAAAAAATATCCCATGGAATGCTTTTATTTATCGATGTTTAGTGATATCATACAACACAAACATTTATCAACACCAACATTTACTTTATCAAGTGATTCTAAATTTCAAGCGCAAGTCTCAGTACATCATGCTAGAACTGTCATGGCTGCTGAGGAGAACGACTGGTAAACATGCAGATTTATTTTACTTGGTTTTCATGTATAAAGGGCTATGATGTTGATAGTGAATAAAAATTCTGTCTCATTGGAAGTAAGTTGAATGCAAAAACAATTTATTTTGCCTGCAGTCGCCCGCATCTAAAAAAATATAGGCCTATTTGCACCGTTACGGAGATGCAGTGGAATTGTAGCCCTCTCCTGAAAATATCAGATTAAAAAAAAGTCGGAGAGGGCTACATTATTGCAGCTACATGTTGTGCTGTTCAGCTGTTTGGCCACAAATGCAAGTAATGCAAAAAGTAGGTAAAAATAACTACTTTGGATAGGTTTAAATAACTAGGTAGCTATTAATAGCTACGTAGGTAGAAAAAGTCTTTGGACTGGACCTTTTTAACACTTTTTAGAGGTGGAACAATACACAGGTCTTGCAATACAATACGTATTTTGTTACAAATAACACAATGCAATGCATATTGTATCTCAATATTATGATTAATTAGAAAACTATAAAAAACTTGATATTTAATTTCAATATTTGACTTCTTGACAATATATAAATCAACAAATTATTTTATATCAAATCACATGTGCTTTGAAATTAATACTTGAAGTTCATCAATTTCATTGACTAAAATTTACAAAAACAACATAACATGATGTTTTGCCAAATGTCTATAAAGAAGTTGGCTTCAATAAGTATGTAGTTCATCAATATCATTGACTAAAAATTAATCTGAAATATCACATGTACATATTAATTTTTAATTGCTGAAAGTCTATATATACTGTGGAATCATCAATGTTCGTGGGGGACCATTGTTCATGGATTTCGTGCGTCTGACACCCTTATCAACGAATTTACATCCCCACGAACAATTATTTTGTCAACATATTTATTCATTGAATCTACTTTGTATACGAGTTACCCATGAAATTACATCCCCACGAACCAACAAAATTTTGCTTAACCACGAACATTGACCCCCATGAATATAAATGATTCCACAGTAATCAAGATGAGTGTACAGAAAAATTAATCCACAACTTGTTTCAAAATTTCAAATTCTCTTTAATGAAAATTAGACAATCCATGCTTTTTTACGAGTTGTTAGTGCCATATAGACAATGATAATAAATAAAAATAATATTCCCTGTTGTGAAAACAATACTTTCTGTCTATAACAAGCTTTACATACTGAACTTTTCTTGTCCCATCATCTGAGGATGCTTAAAAGTGAAAATGTTTTTTACCTCTTATCTAAGACTTACTACATGGAGACCAATTCTTTGGATGAGATCGTATAAACCTGTAGTAGGTGTTGGTACGAAAAAGATTCCTCACTGCTCAAGGGCCTTGAGTGCTGAGTATAGGTTTAAATTTGTAACCCTCCACTGGCAAGTGGTGGCGTCTCCATATGAGTTAAAAATTCTCTAGAAGTTCGTTAAAACAATAAAAACAAACAAAACGATTACTAGTTCTAAAGCATGTTTTAAATATCAATAACATCTCTGCATCGAACTCGCCGCCATTTACTATTTTCATTTTCAATTTTTTGATGGGTTGTTTGTGTATCGGTTCATACCGATATTGCAATGCATGTATCTTAAACTGTATCTTAGCAGAAAATATTGATGTGCATTCCATTGTTTGGGTAGCTGGATACCACCTTCTGTGCTGAGGCATCAATAAGTATTCCTACCTAATATGTTGACCATTGGGGTGAGCGTTGTGTATTACTGGATATTTACTTTTAACTAAGATCCACCTCTTCAAACTGCACGAAACATTTGAAACATTTAGACTGTGACGTCACATGACGTCAAATGTTAGTTGCATTCCCATAAAGATTTTGTTTGAAGTCATAATTTTAATAAAAGAATGTTAAATTAATCTTCTATCTATAAGCAATATCCATTAAATCAAGGTGAGTTTATTTTTTGTGAACAAAATTTTTTTTACATATTTAAAACATCAAAATAACAATTCAACTATAGCAATTCAAATGATTTTTATTTTTAAACCATCATTTATCAAAACTTTAACTATTTAGTTTCCAGTAACTAATCCTTCATTTATTAATTTGTAAAATGAACTGATGATATGTATGTGGACATAATGAAATCTTAACATTTATTGAACTCCCCTTTTATATTTCTTTTCAATATCAATTTCCAGTATTCGTTTTTCTTTTTTGTTAATCCGTAATCTATGAACATAGGAATTCCTCGATCTTTTTTGTGGTAAGGGCATGAAAATCAGATGCCTTATGAATACACATGGAAATGCAAAACCTGATAAACACAAAGCCTGTTAAATGCAAAACAGGATAAACGCAATGTACATTACAATAAACAGAAGACCTGATTGGATACATTCATGATACAATAGGATACATGCACGATACAAAAGGACACAATAGAATTGTTAAAAATAACATTTCCCATTCTGTATCATCAGTGTCTGATCATTTTTCGGCCTCATACTATTGTTAAAACTTTCTAGTACATTTCTCCAATGCCATTTTGTCACTTTCAATTTCTAAATTATACTTTAAAGTTTTGGAATATTCACTAGCTCTGTGTGTTAATTGGACAATGGGATTTTCAGCCCCTGGCCCAGAATGATATTTATTAGCCCATATAAAAAAAGCATTTTCCACATTATGTTGATGCTTACTGATATGCAACTTAACAGGAAACACATTGCGTCTTGTATATATAGGTACTAAATATACAATTTAGAATTCTGTATTTTAATTACATAATGTGTCATGTTAAAAAGATCTTGCAGTAGTCTTCAGATTATATTTCGTATTATTTTAATATCTAAGAAATAAACAAAAACTATGATTTCAATGAGAAACTATTTTTATTGAAGATAAATCAATTGCGAATGTAGAGGAAATTCTGGTTACGAACCAGGTCAGTGCCCTATGAAGTTTTTGTTGCCCATACCAGCATTCAGTTTCCTCGAGCGAGTGGGCGACCGTAAATTTTAATCCCTGAACTAAATTTAATTTAGCCTTAAGAATTGTAATTTCACATTAAAAAAAAAAAAAACAAAACAAAACAAAAAAAAAGCCAACAACTTTTTCGTATCTATACTGTTCAGGACATTGAATCCTCAGAAGATCCAAACCTTGTTGGGGACAATCCTTTTAAACTGTTAGGTTATAGAAAAACAGTAAAACTCAGTTAAAGCGAAGTCTGGGGACCTGTGAATTTACTTTGTTATATCCATAATTTGTTATATCCGTATAACGAATTCGTTAAAGTATATATAACAAATTAGCAATATGCAGCATTTCCTTTAAGTATGACTACCAAATATGTTTTGGGAGGTATTAAATACCAAATTTTACTTGGGGCACTAAATATTTCTGAGGATAGAATCTAAAATCTAAATGCATATAAAAAATAATGTCGGTTTAATATTTTGAAGTTTAAGATATTGAAAATTGGTTATAAAAGATGTAATTTTCCTTATCTTAAACCTCTACAGGACAGAAAATCAGTTCGTTATATCTGTAAATTTGTTATATCAGAGTTTGTTATAACTGTAATATTTTCCTAGGATTTGTTAAGAATTTCGCTGGGGATTCCAAAAAACTTCGCTATATCCATGAATTTCCTATATTCCGTGTTCATACTAAATGAGTTTTACTGTATATTGACGCCGATGAAGGAAATAATACCAAGTACAAAGTTTCCTTCTTTTTCGCAATGTGCATAATTTATATCCCATTTGGGACGTTATATCCAAACAAGCTATTATATCTTATTTGGGCAATTGCTTTAGTGCTTTAAACACCATGACTTATGTCTCTTAATATATATGTCTTTTATTTATTTCAAATTATATGATATGGGCATGTAATACATCATAATTTCTTTTTTAAAAGTATTATCAACGTAAAGTGAATAGAAAAAAAATGATTCAAAAATGCTCATTTTCCCTTTTGGATGGGGCTCCCCTTGATACACAATTCTGGCTGAGTTTGAGGCTTTAGCATGTTTAGCAATAGATGTCAATGATGTGAATTTTCAGTTCATATATTTTTACAAATATATGATCATAGAATGTTATTGTGATCATAATTCACTAATATTCCATTTGCCTATTTAACAGTATGATTGGACATATGACAAAAGTGTAGATAATGTTCATCCCCCTAATTTTATGAAGTAAAATTATGTGATCTAAACATCAAATGTAAAAATTGCTTTATAGAATTACTTTTTGTATATAATAATTGACCTGTCGGTTTGATCTTCAATCCATCCTTTTATGTAAGAGCATGAACTACAGTTCGAGAAATTTACAAAACTAGTGTATGATGGATCATAGGAAAATGGGGAAAATTTCTTAACCATCATGTTGCGAACAGAATCCATTTCTGCACTTGCTTCCTAGCATTTCTTTTTTTGAAAAAAGATTTCATGAAAATTAATGTCAAAGCAGTGCAGGAAAGGGCATATGCAAAGGTCAGTTTTGAACTTGCTACCATTACTGCATATTGTGTTTCAGAAATCAGAATAAGGCTTATATACTGTTGACCCATTGATAATTTCAAAACATTTGTACTTAGCACAGAAGGCTTTCCATATGTCCTTTACCAAAAGACAAAAGGAAAAACAAAACAAATAGCATGTTTTATTCTCATCTCTCTCACCCCTTCTCTCAGTAGTGTTGCTTTGTGTTTTATGCCAAATGAATATGGTTACCTAGTTTAAGTGCTTATTCAATGATATTATATTTTACCCATTCTGTAACACTAGAGGACATCTGCTTAAACAAAAAAAAAAGACTTTTAATAAAAACAGAAGCTTATTGAAAAATAAGTTTGCCTCTAAAAGCAGGTGATCAGATTGTTATATTACCTCTCTCTCCAAGTGTAATAGGAATTATGTCTGAAAATGGACAAAAAATACCTTACCATGGTCTCTTTTTCTCTCTCTTTTTGTATAAAAATGCATGTATAAAAATAATTTTCAACAAAGATAAATGGAGTAGTTTAATGTGATAATAAAACTTATATTTCATTTTCAGTTTTCTCCTCTTTTTCAGGTTGATAAAGTCATTTGACCCCAGCAAAAATGTACATTAATTAACAACTGCCTTGTCATCATCTGCAGAGGGGAGGCTGAGAGATATGACCTTGACCTTGGAAATCTGAGGTAAATATGATGCAGACAGCTGTCAGTGCTACCACAGAAATGGCCACTTGACAGCCCTTCTCACAAGATTTACAGCCCCCAGCTTCAGGAGAAATAACATTTTTGCCTGCCTCTGTGTATTTTTTTTTTTTTGACTCAGATTTAAAACTTATAAGCTGTCATGTGACTTTGGCAGGTCTCTTATGTCATATAGAGGCAGCTGCCTGGTTAGGAGATGAGAGCAAGGGGGTCATTTGTTTTACATGCAAACATTTGTCACCTAAGAATATATTGTATGCAGTAATGTACTGCTACTGTGCTACACAGCTGCCCCACATTTTTTGCAAAGCATATTTTTTATTTTCATTTATCTTTTCTTTCTACATTTTTTTTTTTTTTAATTTTTTTATATTTTTTTTACAAATTCACATTTATTTTAGTTGTTTTATAAATGGCAAACTTTCTGTACTTAGAAGAGAAATGAAAAATGAAGTAAAATTGGACTGAAGAGTTAGTCTTAAAAATCAATTGAATTTCAATATACTGTAGATTCATTTTTTTACTTGAGTACTGGTACTTTAATATCACAAAATGATTCATTGACATCAAATCGCGAGAACCTGAATTCACAAGTGGACTGTTTATGAAGAGTTTTTATATATACATTGTATTTTAGCAATGTAAAAATAAAAAAATGTATAAGGCCTTATTTTATTTTGCGAGTGGTGAATCTCAAGAAATTGCATGATAAAAAATTCTCCGCACATATTAATAAGGAATCTACAGTTATTTACGTTTTCCCCCTTATACTTCTGTAAAAATGTATTTCACAAATCACTGACTTACATGAAAAAATTACAACTGATTTAAGTATATTTCTGTCATTTTAATAACAATTTAAAAGTTGTGAATGATTGTCATTGTTAAAATGATACTTTTGTATACAATGCATTTCATTATTCTGTAGGGATGTCAAATCGGTCAATTTTTGATAATCGGTTACTCGGACGTTTTTCCGATCGAGTACCTGGCTACTTCGTAATGTGAAAATGTAAATACAAGTGTGTTTATTTTCTTAAGCCACGTTAATCAAGCTCTGTTAAACCCCAAAGCTGTTTTTATCACGTTTATAAATGTATATAAACATCGAGTCCAATGGAATTGATTTTTTGGTACTAAAGAGCTAGGTTCACTTTATGCATTAAATGGCCCTGTAGATATACCAATTTATTGACTAACACTTTATGTTCCATTTTAAACATCAAGATAAAGTAGAGACTTAGTACTTTCATTTCCTATTAAAAATTTTCTTCTTAAAGCCAAGGTCTTGGAAAACAGGCTTCATGGAATTGCAATGTTCTTGAATTTTAAGGAAAACAAGTATATTTGAGTACTTTCACAGAGGAGAAATAATATGAGCGCACCCTCTGATCTAAAAAATAAAACATGTTTTGTAATCCTCAGAAATAGTTCTATCATTTAATAGTTGCATATTTTAGATAAGAGGTTGCTCTCTATATTAAATATAGAAAAATAGCTTTAAAAATTGGCTCTTTTTTGTAGAATTTTTCAGGATATGAGGAAAATGACGCATTTCATGACGTCATAATGCATTGACTAGCCAGAAAATTACGTCATTTTTGATAGATATGCAGTCACCAAAGATCTAAATGATATTTAATGCATTGCCAACTAAAACCAAGCAATTTCAGTTTTTCTGAAATTCACAGGGCCAAAAAAGGCCGTAAGTGAACCTTGTTCTTCATTTAACAAATAAACACAAAAGACGCAATAGTTACAAACGGTTTACAATTCTTGTTAAGGATCTATTTCATCAACACAAAAGGAGGACAATCTGTTTCGCAGGTTTGTGATGATTAGACTAGCGAAAGGGATGGAACGGACGTTGTTTGGATCGCTAGTCTAAGTTAATTGTTTCCACCGTATAAACTTACTACACAAACTGACTTTCAATATTATTCTGAATCTTTAGTTATTTCTGAATATTTCTTCACTTTTGAAGTGCAGGGGTAGCAGCATTTCTTTTCATGTCCGATTTTGTTGCTAATATATTAACAAAATAATTTAAAACTTATAATTTGAAGATAATAGATCATACTTAATCGAATCGATATTCACTATAAGAAATCGTTGAAGCCATCCAAAAATTAAGGACCACAATAGGTGAGAACAGCTGTGTACCAGGTGATTGGTCACTAATTACTGTATATACACAGCCACAGGCCATAACGGGTTTTTTACAGGTGTAGAAGACGACACGCTAATAACCGTTTGCAGTTTTAAGTTATTTTTTTATATTTATTTATAAAAATATGTACTTTGAAATAAGAAAAAATACACTTCCGAGTAACCGAGTACTAATTTTAGTATTCAATACTCGGACATTCGATCGAGTACCCAGTTAACCAGGTACTCGTTGACATCCCTAATATTTTGATAATGATGGAATATGTGCATGTCCACACAGAGTAAAATTCTGTAATCACTATTTACAGATTGGAATAAAGAAAAATCAGAAGAGAGGATATAAAGACATAGACATAGAGGTGGAAAGGTATATCAATTTGTTACAATTTCAACTTTGCAAAACCTGAGTGTAAAAAGTAAAGGTATTGTCTTTTGTTGGAAAAACAGCAACTTGTCAAAACAAAAAGTTTTTGAAACTGCCAACGGAAATTTTCAACAATATCAGAGGGTACAGATATATCTTGCAGCTTTAATAAAAGCAGTCAACCATCACACAAATCTTCAGTACAAATAAAAAATTGCAGAACAATTTCAAATAAAATGGATAAAATTTACCTATAAATCAGTCCTTAAGGATTACGTATAAAGCTATAACGATATTTTACTGCAGATATGAAGTTCTACTAGATTCTATATACAGGGAACTTGCTTATCCTTATATTTTCTAGCAGGTAATTTACTCATCCTTATGTTTTCTTTTATGTAATTTCAGATGGACGAAGAAATGTTTGATATGCATGTCTGCCTAGTCTGTCAGTCGACAGTAGTGGGTCTACTCAACTACATCAACCACAAAAAGTATGACTGCCAAGGGAGAAAGATTACTGCCACTGTCCCAACCAGTGGTTCCTCTCCCCAGTCCCAGTCCCCCCAATCTAGCAGTGTCCCCAGCAACCAGGTGGAAACTCAGGTGGTAGGGACGGTGACTGTTCTTAATGAGAAGACTGAGGACTATGTGCATCCTATGGGAGGTCTCCATCTTCTTGCCAGTCAGTGTCAACCCACTACTGAACAGGAGAGGGTTCTGGCATCTTCTGGAACAAGTCTCAACCACTCTCAGGCAAATATGTCAACTGATCCTTGCAGCATGACTTCTGAACCTATACCACAAAATCTGATGTTGCAGCGTAGTATTCCTAGTCAGCAGAATTCCATTACAGTAGGACATAACCTGGGTATTGAACAGAATGGTCTTCCAAATTCTAATTCCACTGTGAGTCTGTCTGATCAGGAACTAGCTGTTGTAATTGATTTCTCCACAGAAAAGAGTGATATTTTTAGTCCAAGCAATGGACAAGGAGTGGATCCAAATGTTGTTATGACTGATGCAACAAGTAAAGAAAAACCAGACTTCTTCTCCTCCCTTGCTCTTCAGAGTAAATCTACAACATCCAAAGATTCTGGACATAACGAGGGCATGTTTGGAGACCAAGGGCACAACAGCATAAATGAACTTCCTATAGCAAATATCCTCAACAGTTTGAATTTCAGTGATGATGATTTGGATTTTGATGAAGATTTCTTAGAGGAAGCTTTTTCTGATGAGTCTGATGGTGACTTTCCACCCCCAGAGCACACTCGTGGGAAGTGGAAGCCAGGAGAGGGGCCACATCATTCCACAGGTGGAAAATGGAGATCACAGAGGACTTTAATCAGTACAGGAGGGAAGTGGAAACCAGGCATGCATAAAGAAGGTGGAGGAAAGGGGAAAGGAAAGCAATTAAAAACAAGATCTACTGAATCAGCTTCAGATTATTACTGCAGTACGTGTGATATGTCTTTCAAATCTAGATACATTTACTCTGCTCATTGTGGTGGGAAAACACACAAAAAGAGGAGACGATCTGGGAAGAAAATGTATGAAGATGAAGATGAAACGACGGTAGAGGAAAAGGAAGCAAATGCTGATGAACAAGAGGAGAAAAACGATGAGAAAGAGGCAGAAGCAGCTTCTACTGAGAATGAGCAAGAAAAAAATGCTGAGGAAAGTAAAGAAAATGCTTCTGTGGAGCTTACAGAGGTTCCAGTAACAATTAAACCCAAAAAAGAAATCGTGGAACCAGAGTGTAAAATCTGTGGTCAGAAATTTGCCAACTTGTATGTTTTAACAAGACACTTGTTATCTAAAAAACACAAAAACAGAACAAAAGGGGAGAAAGACACTATAAGGATCCTTGATCAGTACCACAAATTTATTGTTCGGCTGAGTCCATTCCAGTGTGGGTTATGTCAGTACTACTTTAACCAAGAAAATGACTTGATAGCTCACCTGAAAGAAGATGTTCACAGGAACCAATGTAAAAAACTGCCAGGAGAACTGATGTGTACTTTGTGTCAGTACAGTAGTCATTCAAATGAGGATCTAATTTATCACATGATCAATAACATAAGCCATAGAGAGGCTGCTTTAAAAGGGAGAAAACTCTGCATCATCAAAGAAAAGTGGTTTATGGCTGCATGTAAGTTCTGCAAAAAGAAGATGCATTCAAGGGTACACATGAAGAGGCATGTCAGATCAAAGCATAGGAAGGAGCTCAATTCGGTTGGTCACATTATCGGAGAGTCCCAGATTGATGAAGTTGGGGAATTTTCTTGCAGTGAATGCAACAACAGGAAATTCAAAACTTACAATGCCTTTGTGATTCACATGAATCGGCGCCATGGAGACAGCGATGCAGCCATTTGTGAACTCTGCAACAAAGTTTTATCAGGAAGAAATAGCTTTTCCCAGCACATGAAGAGCAAGAAGCATAAAAATAAAGAAATGATGAGATACTTAGGGAAGAAAGAGGGAAAACTGGAGGAAGTAAAGGAAGAAAAAGAAGGGGCTGTAAAAGAAGAAGAGAAAGAAAAGGAGGTGAAGAATGAGGAAATGAAGAATGAACAAGGAGAGGAAGAAGAAGGAGAGGAAGATAAATACACCACACTGAAGTACAACACTCAGAAACCTGATGTCCCAGGAATGTATGAACGAGCGCACAACAATCATCACCTGAAAAAGCCCCGAGGCCCATACAAGAAAAGAGGCAAAAAACTCACAGATAAGCCAGTACAAGAAAAAATCTTCAAGTGTAATCATTGTGATTACATGGTGAATAAGTACGCCGACCTTCGACCCCACTACATGGAGGCTCATTCTAAGGAGATTCTGGTCTGTGAGCTTTGTGACATTACTTTCCTCAATGAAAAAGCATTGAAGCTTCACTATTCTGGAAAACAACATCAGGCCAATTTAGCTACAGTTGAAGACAACAGTACAAATGTGGAAGGAGAACCAAGTATCTTCCATTGCCACATCTGTAACAAGAGATTCACAGATGAAGCTTGGAAACAATTCCACATTGATGTTTATCATCTGCATCCAAACTCAGAAGAGCTGCTAGTTAAGGAATTGGGAAGGCCAGACATAACATGGGAGAAATACAAAGACTTCTTAGAGACAGTTAAGAACTGTGAGAGGAATGAGAGAATACCTTGCAAGGAGTGTGGAAAAGAATTGAAAAAGGATTACATGTTGGAGCATCTACGTCTTCACTCTGGTGATCGTCCATTTAAATGCCGTTACTGTAACCTAGGCTTCATGTCACCATTGTCTTTGAGGCGTCATCTGCTGACTCACCTGGGATTGACAGAGAGGAGTTGTGATATATGTGGAAAGAAGTACAAAAAAGTGGAGTCCTACAGGGAACACATGAGGCAGCATGCAATGGAGAAACAGGGAGTCCAGAAGCTTATGTGTGATGTTTGTGGAATGTCTTTCTACCTCCAACGTCAACTTAAGCATCACATGCGTAGGCATGGAGAGAAAAAATTCAAATGTGCAGTTCAAGACTGTCACTGGAGTTTCTATTTTGCCAATGAACTTGATGCTCACATGAAGTCCCATACCAAACACCGCCCATTTCTCTGCGACCAGTGTGGGTATTCAGCAGGGACAAAGAATAGACTGCTGCGTCACAGTCGTACTCACACTGGAGAAAGAAACTTCCACTGTGAATACTGTACCTACAAAGCTGGTACTAGAACTCATCTTCGTCGTCATATGAGAATCCATATTGGTTCTAAACCATACAAGTGCCCATATTGCGATTATTCATGTAACACTCACGAAAACATCCGCAAGCATATAATGAAAACAAAAAAGCACGAGGGACTGTTTATCTACCCCTGCAAGTTTTGTGAATGGGGTTCTAACACTGTAAATGAATTCCGTGCTCACTCTAAACTAAACCATCCAGAACATTATGATGATGAGAAGTATGAAGGCATCGCAGCAGTCATGGGATTGTATGTCAAGGAAGAAGATCTTCAGAAACCTACAGAAGGCATGAAAATCAATCCAGTAAAAGAACGGAAGCCCAGGGAAGCTTCCTCTCAACCCCCAGAGAAAAAAATCAAAGCAGAAAGTATGTCCCAGTCTGTGGAGGAGCCTATTATAGTAGTGCCAGGCTACTCCCAGGAGGAAGTAGTGGAGCATTATGGGACTGTGGACTACCATATTCCCTACAGCGGTCAGAATGACACAGATATCAGCCGACCGTGGAATCCAACTTCTCAGATAGAGACAGAACGGGCAGTGAGAACTGTTATTGTTCCCTCGACATCCGGTGAAACTGTGATCACATATGAGTATGAAACAAGGGAGATCACTCCTAATGGGCCTGGAATACAAGGGGAACTTTATTACACCAGTTAGCGTAAAGATCTTACTTGTTAGGTTGTTTAAAAAAAAATTTTCACTTTCGTACAGAGTTTTCACTACTATAAACCATAATTAACCAATTGCTCAGGATTGAGAAACTCATTAAGGAAATAGTAAAAGTAGTCCAGTTAGGTCAAATGTTGATTATGTATTTTGAAAAAAAAAATGTAAAAACTCTTTGAATAACAGTCTTTTCAGGAAGTTACATTTCTTCCAAAGACCTTGAATTTTGCAGACATTATAAATATTTGATAAGTGATAACTCATCAAAAGGCCAAAGTCCTTAACTTGTCATTTATGCATTTTATGAAAGGTTGTTTCATGTAAAATCATATATTGTTATGAAATGTTTCGATTTGTATATTTTTGTTATAAAATCTTGCAGTACTTTTGCATTACCACTAGATTTTTAGCTGTGCTATACCCTATTTGTATCCTATAATTTGCTACCAGATTCTGGTAGTTAAAGTTTTGTTTGTGCCATAAAAATTGCAAACTACAAACTTTGTATTTAAATGATAACGGTCTTAATCTGTTTGAAATTGAATGAGTGCAAGGTTTTCAGATATTTTTTAAAAAAAATATACAAGCAATTGAAATCACACAAGAAATGCAGAATTTCTCTGTACTTTGATACATGAAAAGGGCACAATTGTATGTTTTAATTGTAATATGAATTTTTCTCAGAGATTCTTTTTAATTTCAAATGTCTCATTTATGTGCAAAACAGGTATTGAGAAAAATTATCACTTACCTCAGTTTCTACAGCTTTTGGAAAAAGTCTTGTCGGGAAATCTACTAGCATATGATTATTTTTTGACTTCCAAAAAATTTCATTTATTAGCAAATATATCGCTGTAAAACATGTCTTTTTACAGCAAAGAGAGATAAACTAAATGAAAATCAAATGGCAATTCAGATATTTTTTGCTAACAAGTGGAAATGTTTTTCTTGTTTATTCAAACATTTTAGTGCTTAGGCTTTTCATTTTACCAGCACAATAATAAATGTACCAATTTGCTTGTATGTTTTAACTTTTGTATGTATTGGGATTTTAGTATGACCATTCAACCAAAATTTGAACTTTGACCGTGTTACGTTGGAACATTATAGAACAGTTGGTTATATGTAAGTGTAATTTTAATCAGAAAGAAAATCATTTTATGCAAATTGAATTCTCTGAAGATAAAATATTTTGTTTTTAATCAAACTTTGATAATCATCTAATTTTTGTACATAATTCCTGAAAACTTGAAAATAAACTATTTTATATTAATTTTACTTACTGTATTAAAAAAAGTACTCACAAAGTAAAATTTACTGAGGGAATTTTATATTCTTACGAGTGAGCATTATTGAAACGGAAGTAAAAAGGATGTACATTGTTAAACAGGATGTCAGTGAAACACAAATTGCCCTCATTGATTTGACTTCAGGTTAACTATTGACCAATCAAATGTTTCTTTCTACCGAGAATTGTGAAACATGGCATAACCATCACTAATAAGTGATGATTTGGATGCATGAGCATAAACCAGTATATGTTAATTGTTTCAGGAAAAACTTTTTTATTTTAAAATTGGTACATGTACTGGTATTCTTATGATCCCCTTAGTACTCTGTAATTAAGTACATGTACTGCAGTTGGGTCTCTTTCAAAGACGGAACAACTGAGGAGTTTTCACTTCTGATCAGGGGAAATTTGAGACCTTTTTGAACTGATTTTCCAAAATGCACTTTGTCATGAGAACATCTTCAAGTACATTATATATTAATGAAAACATTTTTGAGTAACTGTATAGCAAAAATTTGAATGACAATATTTTATATCAATTATTACTAAAGCAACCAGATGAATTTTAAGTTCAGGATGAACTGTAAGTGTGTTGTCACCATGTACAATATGATCCATCGTTTGTCTTATCCAAAATACCGATAACTCATTTTGCTCTAGATGCACTGTCACTACCAACAAGCAACTCGTAAACGTTTATTATTAAAAGTGTACACTTGTAATAAGACACCAGAGAAATGACGGTTCTGAGTAGCAATGATTTACACATTTATTTAAATCATGAATTTGTTCAATAATCTGGAAAATGTAGATCCATAGCAAGTCTGGTAGTGTGTATCCTTAGATGCATCATCCTGGTAGGCTTATAGTTGCTTCGTAATGGTCCTGCTCCAAAATCTCTAACCTGTTCCATTCTTCAGATAATGTGGGTCAGATCCAGCATTCTTGTTTTGTGCATCCCTTAAATGTATGATCCATGCAAGTTTGGTCACCATAGGGCTTAAAGTTACTTGCATCTGAAACCTGGGTGGTAATATGAAACATACTTGATGAATTGTGCATGCATCTCTGATCAAAATATGGCATATTGTTATTAAAAGAAAACTGCTCCAAAATTTTAACCAGGGATGCAGACACCATGAGTATAGCATAAGCTCCTCAGGACTTCCTTGAGTTGAGCTAATAACAACTTGGCAAATTTCACCTGACTCAAGCTAAAATATTATTGCTAAATTAAGTACCGGTATATTTACAGTACTGTACTATTAAGTTCAAAAGGGAGCAAATGGACAGCTGTGTAAAGGCCCTATGCCCCTGCAGGTGTGAAGAGGACAATTAAAGTATAAGTAAATTGAAAACAACAACAAAAACAGAACACAATAACATTTGTTCATTTTATACTGACAACAAGAAAGCAAGGCACACATTCAAGGAAAATTATACATTATACATGTATAGATCCTACACAGTAAGCTATTGTATACTTGTCATTTGTGGAAAAAAAAAGTTAGAAAGTTTAAAGAAACCTCACATATCCACTACTCCTTCAGTGGGATTCTTGAAAATTCTGATACAAAATTAACAGCACAATGATCCAATATGAACAAATCTTAAGGATTACCTCCCTTAAAAAAATCTTGTATACACAGTTGATACTTCAGTGTAAGAAGATGGTATGCAATACCAAACATATTCTAGTAAAATGACATTAAATAAATTAACTTAGAAGGCATGATATGTCAATAAAAAGTCTATAAATACACTGAAAAAGCAACAAAGAACATGTATGGTACTTTTATCTACATCTTGAAATATAAAGCTTATTTGATTTATCTGCTTTTGAACTGAAAAGATTTTTGCAAGAGAAAATTAACATAATATTTGTACAAAAATCATATAAATAAAATATGATTAATGAGCCTAAATTATAGGTATGCATGATCCTGAAGAAAATTTGTTCACATCAATACCCACAAGCTATATATATATATATATATATATATATATATATATATATATATATATATATATATATATATATATATATATATATATATATATATATATTTTAGGAATGACTCTAATTCTTGGCCAAATTATTCGAGTATAACCTGGTTTGGGTCAGTTTACGCTTTATAATCCGCAAAGCGGATTATAAAACAGCGTAAACTGACCCAAACCAGGTTATACTCGAATAATTTGGCCAAGAATTAGAGTCAATCCTTATAATTTAATTTTAAAATCCTGAAATAACTATGGGTGTAAAATTTCGTTGCTTTTTATTAGTTCAAATTTGCCGCTCAATAATACAACCTTAGTAACGGAAGGAAGAGATGGGAAGCAAGGGGAGGTAAAAACTGATACATAGGCCTAGCAGCCTTTTTACATGTGGTAAGAGCGAATTATCGTTTGAAGTTAAAGGTACGTATATTAAATCTGGAATTTTCCATGAATCTCGAGGACTGGAAATGAGAGGATTGTATGGATACAGATGATTCAGCTGGTTGTCAGGGGGGTGTGTCCCCATACCAAACCAGGTTATACAGAAATAATTTGTGTTCCTTTTTGGATATTAACCAATCAGAGGCAAGAATACAAACAAAATTAAATTATATATATATATATATATATATATATATATATATATATATATATATATATATATATATATATATATATATATATATATATATAAAGTCAATCTGTATTTAATATCAGCTTTTATAAGAAAACATCTGATCATTGGTGACTTAATAAATTCATCCTATTTATTTCCTTGTATTAAGCAACTCCCACAAATGATCATTATTTTGCCTCCCATTATGCCATATAAAACTTGTATAAAAACCTCTCATTGAGTTAATTTTTGCCATTGTGACATTTAACGTTGGGTAAAGAATCATTTATGTTTCTACCATTGACAAAACTTCTGCACTGTAACAATATAATAATTCTCAGAAATGAAAGAAAAAGTGAGCAAGCTCACATACCCCACGCTCCCCCAAAACTCAACAATGGAACATGTTTTAAATACACAGTATAATAATTCAAAAAGGGGCATTACTTGCAAAAAATCATCACATCAAAACTTCTTAAATACATGTATAAGGAAATTCAAATCTTTGTATGTAACAAATTTAACTGGGCTGAAGTTTCTAGATAAATAATGGAATCAAAATTTCTTAGTAATATACAAATCCATACATTATGTCTGAAATACCTACAAAGTTTCAGGAAATTCAGTGCAGGAGTTATGCTGACAAACTGTTAATTAAATTCCTCAGTGATTTCGATTTGTTAATGAGTGTAAGTCCATGTCCAACACATGATAATTTACACATTTAAATAATTGATGGAAACAAAATTATGATGTAGTCATATGAATTTGTTTATATACTGTACACATGAAATTATTTAAGGCAAAGCACCAATTTGAGGGGTAGAGGGGGGTTGAGAGCTATCCAAGATTTTGTGTTGCACTAACAAACTGTTCATCTCTATATTCAAGATATGGCCAAAATCTAAGTTGAAAAGTGCCGAAATTCCCAGAAAAATAATGGAATCGAAATTTCCTGGTAATATGCACATCTCCACACTGTGTAAGATATATCTGCAAAATTTGACCAAATTCTGTGCAGCGGGTTAAGAGGAGTTGCGCTGACAAACTGTTCATCTCTATATTCAAGATATGGCCAAACATCCAAGTTGAAAAGTACCGAAATTCCCAGAAAAATAATGGCATCGGAATTTCCTGGTAATATGCACATCTCCACACTGTGTACTAAATATCTGCAAAGTTTAACCAAATTCTGTGCAGCAGTTTAAGAGGAGTTACACTGACAAACTGTTCATCTCTATATTCAAGATATGGCCAAACATCTAAGTTGAAAAGTGCCGAAATTCCCAGAAAAATAAAGGAATCGGAATTTCCTGGAAATATGCACATCTACACATTGTGTCCTAAATATCTGCAAAGTTTGATGAAATTCTGTGCAGCGGTATATGAGGAGTTGCGCTGACAAACTGTTCATCTCTATATTCAAGATATGGCCAAAAATCTAAGTTGAAAAGTGCCGAAATTCCCAGAAAAAATAAAGGAATCGGAATTTCCTGGTAATATGCACATCTACACATTGTGTCCTATATATCTGCAAAGTTTGACGCAATTCTGTGCAGCGGTTTATGAGGAGTTGCGCTGACAAGAAAACAGGACTGACGGACTGACTGACTGACTGACACACTGACTGACTGACTGACACACTGACTGACTGACTGACTGACGGACGGGTCAAAAACATTATACCCCCCGCAACTTGTTGCGTGGGGTATAATTAGAACTCATGATCGGAATCTATACATCTATGACAATATGTAAAAATTACCGGTACATGATAAGCCATAATAAATAACCAGTCTTTATATATGACCTTTTTAAAATTTGACGTTGCTTTATAAATTACAACAGTATTCCAAAAAGACTACAAAAAGTGCATACATTATTACATGAAACTGCAAAAAAAAAATTCTCTTAATAAGATACATATCAAGTACTATGTAACATCTACTGACATTAAACATTGTACTCAGATAAAACAATACACGTGCAAATCACACAAAATAGAAAACATGTCCTTTTAACTGTGTCTCGTGTTGACTGAACAATGACCGCCCTATCGTACTTTGTCTTGTTTACAGAAAATGTAACACCTGATAATCAAACACTCAAGTTACATAAGACAAAAAGTCAACAAATTTGTCCCCAATTTCTGTTGATGTAGTGATGCTATCAGTAAATATCACTAAATAACAAGTCAGATCACTACTCTTTCAATTAAGGAGGGAAGGGTTTAAAGGATATAATGGATTAATTTAATAAATGTTTCTCAAAAATTAAATGTGCCCAAAATCAAACTAGTATTTTTCATATTTTATTTGAGCAAACTTAATGTCATTTTAAAATAAGACTTTAATTAAATTACTTTTTTTATAAACATGATAAAACATGCATAAATATTTTAAAATCTTAGTATCATTTAATAGATAAATAAATCAGTGACCTTCACCAGCTAAAAGCAAAACAGAAAACAGTTCTCCCTTGTCTATTGCACATTTTCTAAGGTCTCATAATTAACAGTTCAAAATCAATAAACAAACTTGGTCTATTTGGATACAAATGAAAAATAAAGACAAAGAATGTAAAGAAAAACTAAGCAAGACATATAAATATCACTAATGTTATCAAAATTTTCCTTCCTTTCTTACTTTCTTTTTTTTTTTTTTTTTTTTTTTGTAAAATCTTTAAAAAAAAAAACTAGACATTAAAATTTCTAGACATTACCAAATTTTACTGATTTTCCTAAAAAAAAAAACCCAATTGGTTCTTTGACACAGGTACATCAAACACGGGTTGATAATGTGTATTGTTTCCCCTTAATGTCCATGGAAATTCAAAAAATATATTTTATGTACTACTAAACTATTATCATTGACATTTCTGAGCCCACTTAAAATCATCTGCTCTTGGCTTATTCCCAGTTGATCTTTCAATCATGTCTTCCAGAAATGTCCAGAAGCCGATTTTTTCTAGTGGATAATTGAGCCAGCCAGTGGTGATACAGAAATAGGTCTCATGGGGAGCTACGTGGTGAATACGGTGGTGCTTTTTCGGTAGGATAATGTGCATGTCTTGTAGAAAAGTTATCCACTTTGGTAATCCAAAATATGTGTGTGACCACTTGTGAAACTAAACAAAGAAAATGAAAACTTGATGTTCATTTCAAATATCTGGTCATTATCATAGTCATACTTTACTTAAGAATCGATGTATAACTGCAAAACTACAAACAAGAAAATGTTTTTCTTTACTGCCTTTAAAATCAAACCCTAGAAAAAATGCTGCTGCATCTTTGAAATTTGTTCAAATAACCCAAAATTTGGACTTATTGTGGATACTGTGTGTAGATAGACAGAAAATACAATGGAACACTGTATTATTATGCAATGATCTTAAAATCAGCAAAAGGCTATGAGAGTTAATTCATGTGCATACCTGGTTAGTCAGACTGACAAAGATGGCCAGTAAAAATACAAAACACTCCCAGTTGTATGTCTTGTCAATTTCCTCTGGAGACAGCGTGATGAACTTGTAAGCCATGTGACCCAGAAAAGGGACTACGACAGCAAAATTATCACCATTGGTTTCTATAAAATCATGTCTAGTAATGGAGGTAGGATCTATATGGTGCTCCCTAAAAGGGCGTATAAAGGCCTGAAAAGAAATGCAAGCAAACAGATAACATTTTTTAATAACATTAACATAGATATCTTATATATTAGGGCTGGGACGATATATCGAGATATCGATTCTGTGTGAGAATGATACGCATATCGATACGTATGAAGAAATATCGAAATATCGCCAAAAAATTCTGACTTATCTTTTTCTTTGTTTGCTTAACATTTTGGGTGTAATGTTTTAAAATAAATATGCTAAATATTAATATGAAATACATAATAATTAACACCACTTGTGTAAAATAATTTTGTTTTACAACAGATATACAACTTCTTTGAATAAATTATTTTTGTTTGTGAATTAAGAAATGTTTTGTTCATTTCAATCCAAATAAAAGATTTTGAAACCAAATCAACATATCGTGATACATATCGTATCGTGGCTAAAATATCGTGATACGTATCGATATAGAAAACGTTGTATCGTCCCAGCCCTATTATATATATATATATATATTATAGATATATATTAAACAAGATAACATCAACCAAATACATGTACTGGGAAAAGTTTTAACCATATTCTGGTAAACATTATGTAAAAAATATAACGCATACCTTCCATTACATTTCTCCACATCATACAACATAAAAATTAAAAGTAACCAAAGTAGATATGTGAATTGGTTTATATTAACGGTACTGTTGGGGAGTAGGGGCTTTATATTTCAGACTTAGAAGACCATGAGCAAAGTAAGAAAATTGCAGTCCCCCACTTTCGGGGTCTTAATGGTTGGGGTGCAATTATTAATGGCATATATTGTAACTTTATTATCCGTTCATCATACAAAAAAAAAATATGTTTAAAATTTGAAGTAAAATGTTCTGTTTCAAAAGTTACAGCAAAAGATTAATTTTTTTTTTTTTTTGGTAATTAACATCAAACTTCAAGGTCAAGAATCACAGAACACCCTGAAAGGTCATGTCACAGGTAATATAGATGTGAAATTACTGCAATATGAAAGCCCATCTCTTCAGGTGCAAAAGCTATGGTCAAGGTTAAAATGAGGTCAGAAGTCCTAATACATTCTGAAAGGTCTTGTCACAGGTAGTGCTTAAGTAAAATATGAAAGGCGCTAGCTTCTCATAATCAAAAGTTATTACTAATGTTAAATTTTTTGAAAAATAGGTCAAACTTATAGGTCAAGGTCATGAGGTCAGAGTCATAGTACACTCAGGTCATGTCACAGCTAATGTGCAAGAGAAATATGAAAGCCTTATCTTCTCTCATTCAAGAGTAATCATCAATGCTCTCGTTTTTGTGAAAGGCAGATGGATGGACAAAAGAATGAGATTTAATGTCCCCAGGCTTTTGCAAAAGTGTGGGACAATAATCTGTTATTTAATAGATGATGAATAGCAATTACCTTGCCAATAACTGGAATTTCTATAGACCCCCAGGTATCTGCTCCCCAGTGAACCAGTCCACTAAAGAAGTCGGCCACCACTATTCCTAACACTGCAAAACATAAGCAAAAAAATCACTGTTAATTTAACATATAAAAATGTAAATTATTTTGGATTGTTACCTTAACATTGAATTACATTTTTTAAAAAACATATATGTGAACAGAATTGAATTTTTTTGTAATGTATTTTAAGCAATAGTTGGAACATTATACATGTACTCACATGAGCAGATCAGGACAATGTACCAATTTTCTGCTTTGAAGTGAAGCACAAGGGCACACAGGTTAAAGGCCATCAGTGCAATACTCACAATAAGACATAAAGTTTCTTGTACCCTTTTTCCTGGAAGAAAAAAATAATGTATTAAACAATGTCTATAAAGTACGGAAGCGTATTAGGGCCGCAGCAGTATTTTTTATTAATTTGTTATAACAAATTACTAATTTGTTATAACAAATTATTAATTTGTTATAACAAATTATTAATTTGTTATAACAAATTATTAATTTGTTATAACAAATTACTAATTTGTTATAACAAATTACTAATTTGTTTTAACAAATTACTAATTTGTTTTAACAAATTATCAACTTGTTATAACAAATTATCAATTTGTTATAACAAATTAGTAATTTAATATAACAAATTATCAATTTGTTTTAACAAATTACTAATTTGTTATAACAAATTATCAATTTGTTATAACAAATTACTAATTTGTTTTAACAAATTAATAATTTGTTTTAACAAATTATCAATTTGTTATAACAAATTAGTAATTTGTTATAACAAATTATCAATTTGTTATAACAAATTAGTAATTTGTTATAACAAATTAGTAATTTGTTATAACAAATTATCAATTTGTTTTAACAAATTACTAATTTGTTATAACAAATTGACAATTTGTTATAACAAATTACTAATTTGTTTTAACAAATTATCAATTTGTTTTAACAAATTAGTAATTTGTTATAACAAATTATCAATTTGTTATAACAAATTAGTAATTTGTTTTCAGAAATTAATAAAACAAGTTAAAAGTTTGAATTTTTTAACTGCGGGACTGCAATGCGCGTTTGAAAGTTGGACCGTGACGCCATTTCAATCAGTGGATAGGTAAGTAATAAAGGATTTTTGTACTCTAAAATCTGTTCATAAACTTTGGAAACAGCATGCAGTTTATTTATGAACTGTCTTTTTATTTCATCTAAGCGTAATTTCCACATTTTCTTGGACATTTTCAAACCATAGGCTACTTGTTGAGTTTGTCATTGGGGAAATGTTTTTTTTTTTAGCGGAGCAGATCTTTTCAACCGGGAAAGACTTCCTCTTAAAAATCAAATTAAAAAGGGGGAGAGAGAGAAGGAGAGTTGTTTACATGGTTTATTTGTTCTTTATCACTATAAGTTTATAAATTTCTGGAAATGGAGAGAAAGAAAGAGAGAGAAATACGTTTATGTAGACTATAGCCTAACTGTGCTCTTATTATGCATGATTTGCTAGGCCCAGGGTCACAAATATTTAGCCTATTTGTTCTTTAATACTAGAGAGTACATAGTAGCCATCTGCGGTGATATCACTTGGGATTGTTCATTTTGCCTTGCCCGACTCCCGATGGTATTGATTTTTATAGTTGGTAGTGTGGTTTCTGTAAGCCCTTAGCACTAATATGTGGAAAAAAATACGAAGCAACACCAACACTATATCTTTTCTATATATTTGATCATCCATTTTGCAGATCAACATCTAGCAGCAATTATGAGTTATGTTTTTCTCAATCCGAATTTCCTCTATTCCTCTGGTTATATAAGGTAATACTGAGATGTGTGCTTGTAGATAACCCATCAAATCATTCTGAGATACACATATTATGTACCGATACATGTAGTTCCAGTTATGCATGAATAATGTATCGAATTTAGTGCTGCACTTCAATTTAACTCTTGAGACAGATGGTGGTCTTTGGGTCTGTCATCGTTGTAACGTTGTTTTTATTGTCATTGAAAACTTTGTTTTATTATCAAAATTATTTTAAAAGTTAAATTGGTTTAAAATTTTGACTTATTAAAAGTGCTTGAAGTCAGTATATATGTCCTAAAATTTTCGATTTAATGAATTACTTATATGTTTTTAGAGTATTTCAGACCTTATATCTTATAAAGGTGCATTTAAGATCTTTTCTTTTCTGAAAATTTTTAAAAGTACAAATTTCAGGACGCGTTGGATTGACACATTTCACACTTCATAGAATATAATATCTCTGCATTTTCCTAGCCAAGGTTAGCATTGTAGTTGTCCAGCTGTCTGTTTTTCCTCTAAATCTTGAACCTTGCCAATTACTTTTGAATGTCTGGTACTAGTGCTTTCATATTTCACTTGATAACAATTAAGTGGCAAGACCATTTTTAGGATACCAACATTTTTTAATTTCTTGATTTTCTGAATTTGTCCTACTTTTGAAAAACTTTAACCTTGGCCATAATGATTGAGAATGATGACATCAGTGTTTCACATTCACATTTTTTTTTGATTGAGGATTAACATAAAATATTTTGCTTTGCTGGTATTTCCACAAAATGCCTCTGCTTCTTTTGGGCCTATTTTCATGTCAACTAAATAAATGCTTAATTTTCTGGTAACTGAATGATGAAATATGTAAGATTAGTTTTGCCTTAAAACATGGAGTTCAAATATCTCAAATTCAAAAAGCAAAATTCTATTGTCACTATACCCAAACAAAAAAATAACTACCTTTTTGTTTTTAATCTTAATAGTGATCAAAACAATGGCTGCAGATTCAGATGATGCTTTGTACACTTTCTTGGAAAGCCGCAATGTGAATACAGAGCTTATGAAAAAGGAAAAGGTAAATGCCCAAGTAAACTAATTATACTTAAGAAATCTTCAAATAAATCTAATATTTATTCAGGTGATCAAGCTATTAGCCTATTTAGAAAATGAAAACTGCATTAATGAATCATAAATATTCTGTCCATTTCAACTCAGTCATGGATCAGAACTATAAATTCAAGTGAGCTTTAATTTTTTGATTATGCAGCATCTGTCCATATGTCTTGCATTAGTTGTTCATCAATCTATGAATAATATGGTAAAACTTTTTTCTTTGAGCTAAACAGAACAGCCATAGCTACATTATCAGTAAAGTATTGCACATTCTTAAAAGAGAGTTTCATTAATTTGAGACTGTTTTTATCTCTGTCTGTCTTCCATGGAAGCAATTAATATATCTTTACTGTAATTTAAACTGCAATACCTCAAATAATTCCCATCCAAATATTATGACCATATGTTCATATGACCATATGTTACAAATCTGAAGTAATCTTAACCTGTTAACCTTGTGTATCTCTTTCAATAATATTTGCCTCTGAGATTTTAATGGAATATCATTTATCAAATAGTTTCATAAAAAGAAATTGCAATATTAGTGAACTCAATAGAACATTTAGTTAAATTTTCTTAATTGTTATACATATTCATGTACATGTAGCAACACACTTTTCAAGGATGCCGATGGTGTGTTTCTCTGATAAATATATGCACACAATTATTAAAATCAAGTAGGCATGAAGTAGCAATACCCTAAGTCTTTGACCCATTGATTCCAAGGCAAAGCATGCATGCTACAACCTCTGAACTCCTACTGCTATAATTATTTAGGCCAAATAAAAAAATATGTGTGGTTCCGGTTACACCTCCAAACAAATTAGGGTAGGTAGGTAGGTTTTTTTTTTTATTTATTTATTTATTTAAATAAAATAAAAGTCAAAAATATCATTGAATGTTCTTGAAATAACTATTGGTGATATTAGTGAGATAATACTATTGCTTTCTTTCAAGTGGTGACATTTGTAACTGACAAAACACTTGTACTGCGTGTTGAAACGATGTTGTCAAAGAAGGCCACCATTGCTGAAACTAAAACTAATACCGGAGCCAATGAGGGAAATCAGGGAAAATTCCAGAAGTTTGAAAATTGTCAAAAAAAAGTTTAGGGTCGGGGGTATAAAATAGGGACGGTCGGGTAACCGGAACCACACATATTTTTTTTATTTGGCCTTATAATTCAAGGTTTACTGATGGTTTATTCGAACATCCATTTTTTCATGTAACAAGATAACTTTTGTACATCTTCTTACAAAACTTCAAATTTCAGTCAAAGTTATTTTATAATAGAGAAAGACACCTTTACTTTTTGAGGTCCATTCTCAGATTTCAAGGTTGTAAAGAAATAAACAACTTTTATGACAAAGTCCTGCATGACATTCAGGTCAAGTTAGACTTATGATAAAGGAATATATAATATGCTTAAATGTTTAAAAATATTAAAATCACTTTTCAGATTGACCTAGCTGCATTACGAGTTATAGATGATAAAGAATTGTCTAACTTTATACCACATTATGGTGACAGAGCGGCTCTTCGTTCTTATATAAAAAAGGAAGATGACAAAAAAAAGAAAAAATCAAAAGTTACACTGGTAGCTTCTTTGAGACAGAAGTTAAAAGACATGAGAAGACCAAAGAAATCAAATGCCAAAAATCAGATGTCAGAAAGTGATTCTGATGTGGAGGAACATATTGAAAACACAATAAATCCTTATAAAGGCAATCAAAATGCTACAAAAGAGTCTCGTAAAATTAAACTAGGAATTAAATCAAAATTAGATGATACTTTTGTGAATATCAGAGTTAAGAAAGGAGGAGGTCCAAGAGACATTACAGTTAAAAAGTCTTCCAAGAAGAAGGAACTTATTGAGCAGGCCAAAGAATTGAACTTTGGTAAATCTGGTACAAGTAAACTAGGATGTGTTGATGACTTCTCTTTTGACATGCAAAATTTTGAGGAAGATATTCTTGATGATGAAATAAGTGTTGGAAAGCTGTATGAGCAGACAGGTTTAAGCAAGCTGACATTTTATCTTCTTCTCATTCCTGCATGTAAATATGAAGATTTGCCAAAAATACAAAGACCCCTCAAAAGACACAGAACAACAAACAGTAGCACTTCAGATGATGATGAAAACTTGCCAGACCCAAGTGAAGTTGTTAGCTTTGATATACTTTCTGAGGCAATGTTGGCTGCTGATGTGCCATTGTGCTTCCAAGAACCAAACATCAATCTTGATTATGTTGAGGATTCTTCATGCATCAATACAGTTCCAGCAGCATGTAACAGCACAAATCCTGCATCATGCATCAGCACAGTTCATTCTGAAGAACTTGTTTCCATAAATTCTCCATTATCTTTAAGATCTAATCCCAGTCAGCATCTTGAAAACTTAGTACCAGCAGCAATTACAGTGCCTCAAGAAATTTCACTCAAAACAGATAAAGTTCTTAGAATCCATAGAGTGACCCTGTTGGATGAAATGCTTGTTTTCTTTAAAGATCCAGAGGTAATGAACAAGAATATCACATTTGAATTTGTCAGTGAGCATGGTTCGGATATGAATGGAGTTTCAAGAGATGCTTATTCTGCATTCTGGATTGAATTTTTCAGGCGTTCAGCTGAAGGGGAGGAATCCAGAGTACCTGCCCTGAACTCAAAATGGCAAGGGGATGAATGGCAGGCTATCGGTAGAATATTTGCCAAGGGTTTTGTTGATCAAAATGTTTTTCCCATACAAATGTCGCCAGTAACTACTATAGTAGTTTCATTTGGTGAAGCATCAGTGACTGATAAAATTCTGAATGATGCTTTCCTCAGCTACATCAGCAAAACAGAAAGGGACACTTTATCCTCAGCTTTGAACAAAGAGACTTTTGATGAAGAAATGTTTGATGACCTGCTAGACTTGTTAGACAGGTTTTCATGCAAGCAGAGACCCACAAAAGAAAACCTACACAGTCTATTAAACAATATAGCACATAAAGAGCTCATCCAAAAACCTAAATATGCCACAGACAACATGGCTCTTGGGTGCAGAGATGCTTTACTCTCACACTTTCTCTCGGTTGAGAAAATATTGATTACCTATCAAGATATGGAGCCAACACCCAAAAAGGTCTTAAAAATGATAGAGGCCATTCCAAAAGGACACAGTGAGGCAACACCATTGCGCTATTTACAGCAGTATATAAGAGGTCAAAGTAGTGTATCATTGAAAAAACTCTTGCGTTTTCTCACTGGATCAGAGGCCATCACAGTTGATAAAATAGAGGTGACCTTTACCCAACTAGAGGGGCTTGGTCGAAGACCAATTGCCCACACGTGTGGTCCTCTCCTAGAGTTGCCCAGTACTTATTTAAGCTATCCAGAGCTTAGGAATGAATTGGACAGCATATTAGCAGATGATTCCTGTTTTGTAATGAATATGGCATAACAAGTTTTTCCAGATCAAAATTTGTCCATTGTTTGTCATTGCTTTTTCTCCAGAACAGGACCAATTTTAAACAAACTTTGCACAAAAATTTGGATTTTATAATATTCAAGTTTGTTGAAATTAAGGGCCATATCCCTTTCCAAAGGAAGATAACCGTGAAATAGTAAAAATATTAGTAATGAATTATGAATGTCTTTTTTCCAAAACCACTGATGCAATTCATAAAAAAATTAAGGAACTCATAATTTTCAGGTGAGTGATGTGGCCTGTATGCCTCTGGTCTGTAGAAAGTCTGTTTTTCTCCTTCTACATATGTAAAATAATTTGTGTGCACAATGATTATGAATTTATAGAACCAGGAATTGAAATCTAGTTTCAGAGGCAGAGGCTCAATTCATTATTCAGGTACTTATAATTGATAAAGACTATTGTTAAAAATAGCATGAAACTAATTTTGAAAATATGTACGTTTTTATTTTAATTTCTTGTTTAGAAGTATGTTTGAGTTAACTACTTGTACTTGCACCATTTGAGGTTGTGATTTCCTAACACTGACACTTTGTCATTTTTAATTTGTGTACATTTACAAGCAAGTATCCTTAAAATACATGTATGAAGCAAGCATAATTGCACTAATGTTTGATAAGTGTTAATTTTGAATACACACTGTATTCCCCAAAAATTATTTTGACAGAGCAGTCTCATGATTGTGTCAATCCAGCATGTTTTTTTTAAAATTGATAATCATTGTTACTTATAACAATAGTACATATACCTCTATGTTGTTGAAAATTCCTTCATCAAAAATTGTTGACAGCCATATTTAACAGAATTTTTTTTTAATTTGCATTCATAAGTTGACTCATATCAAGAATCATATATATAAAAAAAGAGCTTAATAGTGTGCCTATTTGAAATTACTGACCAGAAGTTGTAAAATTAAATTAGCTCACCTGAGTCAAAAACTCAAGTCAGCTTTTCAAATCTCTTGGTTCATCTGTCCGTGTTAGGAAACCTTTTTTTTATATATATATTTGTATTTAAAAATCTGAAACGTGATAATGTTTATCAAACAGTCTCGAACTGAGGAAAAATTAAAAACAAATTTAAAAAATGAGTTCAAAATAGGGAATTTTAATTGGAGTAAAAAAAAATTGAGATGTAATAAACTGTTTCAATTTTAGCCTTAGAAAAGATTTTATGGAGCATGTACACTTAAGGAAGCTCAAAACACTAATGATTTTTTTTTTTTTTTTTACATTTTGAGAAAATTTCATCATACAGATGTGTACTTACTGATTTTATCACATTCATTCTCAACATTTTCAATGGTATCTGCCAATTTTTGAAAATTTTTCAAAGTTGGTGAATTTTTAGTAAGCAGAAATCACTGTTGTCTGAAAAATACATGCAAATACTATGTACCTTATCATGGTCTAATATAATGTTGAAATTACATTTATCCATTTTAAAATTATGTCAATCAATATAAATTTTTTTTATTGTTCCTTGTATATAAAGGGGCAGATAACTCTAACTGCTTAAAACTATAATAGAATTAAAACTCTAGTGAGCAGTCTTTTGAGCTTCTTTAACATGATTAAATCATTACATTTTCATGTGTCAGGATGAGTTTATTGCTATATATAAGGGGTTATCATTTTTCAACTAATTTGTTGGAAACACTATTTAAATCCATGTTTAAAACAGTTTACCTATACATGTGTATTTTTATTTCTTGTTCCTTGTTCAATTGAACACCCAAGAAGGGTCTTAGGGGGTCATGCCTGACCATAACTCAAAGGCTTTCATTTTGAGGTTTAGTCTAATTTGGAAAAAATTGTCAATTTTAACCCAAGCCCTGGTGAGAGATATGTGATCAGAGGGCATTTTCTCTGTGCACATTTTTATGAAAGTGATTTTAAGATGATTCATGTCTTTGCTTTTTATTTGAGTGTTTCTAATAAACAGTGGCAATTTTTAGAGTTCATTTTCATTGAAAGCATTTGGCAGAGGAAGAGAATGAAGTCAAGTTTAATACTCATAGTGCTGTTTGAATGTAAATATAGTTTAAATGATGATGTTTATCAAGTTTTGGTCCAGACCTCCCACTTTTAATAAGTGTGTCAGTGATCATGAGGAACAGATCATTCTTGTTTCTTTGGTGTTGCCTTGATTGATTCTGTCAGAGAAAGGTTACAATTTTCAATGAATATTTTTCTGCACATACATATATATAGATATTTTAGGTCATTCACTGAGGCCACTACTGGACAGTGGGCAGTCTTGCAACCACATTGTCTGTTCTACAGTAAAGTTCTTTGAGTTTCTTATGTTGAAAACAATCAGATGGATATTACTGAATATGGCATAATTAGGCTGATTAGAGAATAACCTTAAAGGTTTTATGCTTATTTCCTAACATGAAGAATAATAGTGAGGAAAAAATATCCTATAGCAATATATATGTAATAGTATTAACTTATTTTCCTTATCAAGCAATCCAGGCACTTTTGGTAATCATTTTGAAATTTTTGATGTAATTTCATGAAATATTTTATATAATTCTTTTATCCATAGACCTACTAAATAATGATTATCATACTTTCTTTTAAAATAAGGTAATCTACTCAGGGTATATTTATTTATTATTTCTGTAAAAAAGAGGTAATGCTCTGGCCATTTGTGTGGTGTGCTTAAGCATTTTTTTGATGGACCATATCTCAAGAATTCCTTGAACAATTTTTATCAAATTTGTCACAGGGTATCCTTCACCCAAGGGCTTTCATTTTTATAACAAGAGGCCCAAGGGCTTAACAGTCACTTAAGTATAATGTAACAATCCATAGATTAAAACAGAATAAGGTGACAAATACAGCATGTTGCCCAAAAGCAAGATAGATAGGATAATCAGGGATCAGCAAAATATTAATTTAGTACTCAAAAACAAAACTTAAAAGTTGATCTATTTGTTTGCCTGTACTTTCCCCCATTTGTCAATATCCTCATGCGGACTAGACAAAACACTATCAGTTAACACATTTCATTCCCCCTTGCATTGGGCTCTCTTGCTCTTTAAGGATTATTTATTGTACAGATATATGGTATTTTTGAACCATTTTCATTTATCTATTATTTAAAACTTTTCCTGACCATTAAAAACTATGAAAGTACTTTTGTATTAAATATTTTGAAATTTTTTTGTATAATTCTGTTACATGTATTCAATCGACCTTTAAAGTTACATTATTTACAGTTATGGAATATTATAGGTGAATAGCAAAGGATAACTTCTTTCAGTAGAAATAATAAATTGACCAAACAGTGCAGAATTTCAAAATCTGGTAAAAACATCCCTGCTTATTAAAACTTTTCATACTCTTTTTACCTCTAAGATGCCCAGAATCAGAGAAGAAGATTTTCAAAGAAATAATTCATTTTCACTATAGATTCAATATAGCCCACCTTAAAACCAAAGTCCGTGACCCAGGGGCCAAGATAATCACAATTTTGAAAGAGTTGCCCTTGCTCATCATAACTGTATAATTGGTTCATATGCTAAATACCCAGGGACAGAGAAGTAGATTTCAAAGAAATAATGCACTTTTACTATATAACCAATAGAGTCCCCCACCCCACCCCTCAAACAGAATCCTTCACCCTGGGGCCAGAAATCACAATTTTGGAAGAGGCACCCTTGATCATCATAACCATGCACCTAATTTTTCTTCTTTATATACAGGGAGAGAGGAGGAGATTTTCAAAAAAATAATGCATTTTCACTATATGATCAATAGATCATTGAAGTTCTTGCGTTCAATTTTTTTTCTAGACCTCAAGAAAATGGCATGATAATTACATGTATTAATATTTATTTTCAAACAAATCTGAAATTAGAAAAAATTGCCAATGCATAGCAAGATAATAAAAATGATCACAAATTCACACCATCTACTCTAAAATTACACAGATTAGGTGATCATTTTGAAATGATGCCTTCAACAAAGGAGCTGAATCAAATTTCAATTCAGTGCATTTGATTTTTAAATCAATAAGTTTCGAATGACAGGAGATAATGATATGTACAAATCAATTGCTTCTTGTGGGTTAACTGGCTTCTGCCACCCATGATTTCCCATTTCAAGATGACACAATTCAAATAAATCTTGATCACAAGGCACTTTAGACTTTTTGATGCAATGCTCTTTACACAAGTCTATTTTCATTCCTCAACGTCCCACAAGAAATCTTCGGTGCCGCAAAGTTCAGGAAAATTGTACAACACAAAAGGTCTCCCGTTTGACGTTCTTTGATTTTTCGTTTTCCTAATTCTGTGACTACTCCAGGTTTGTGCGACCATGTCTAGTTCATCCTGAAATAAATTGTACATGTAATTAAAACACACACAACAGCACAATATAAAGTCAAAAGATCATCAACAATGCAGATTTTGGCTATAATATTTCGAAGATTATCGATTACGATACTGCATATCGTATACAACAGTCACGTACTTTTGGGGGGTGGGGGGTCACCTTTGCTTTTTTCCAAACATTACTTTTTACTATTCAAACTTAAAGGGCGCCCCCTTTTTTGTTGCGCTATAATCAAATTAGGGAATGGGGTAACAAAGGAATAAGATTTGGTTGTGAAAGAAGTACGGGACTTACTGAAACTAACTCCTCAACCCCCACCCCACCCCTCACAAAATAGGGTTTTCAAGTTTGGACAATTTTCATTTTCTTTTTTCTTTTTTTTTTTTTGGTAAGTTA